GCTCATCACTTAATTGATATGAGGTCTATTCAAAAGTTTCTTTCAGTCCTGTCATTTTAATGACTTTCTAAAAGTCTAGGTTTTCAGCTGGTTGTTTGATTAACGAGAAAATAGATAAGTTCCATTCAGGTGCTCAACAAAATTCATGATGTTCATAACCCAGTTCTCATGAGTTTTATTTGCCATGATTTGACACGTTCATTACTTTGAGCTGTGGGGATCCAGAAAGTGATGAGTAGATGAAACGTTCTCAGGCCCTCGATCTAAAGTCCTCCTAGGCCTAACGACCTCCGGTCCTGATGTATCTCTCAGGAAGTAGTTGAATTTGTTAAACTCTTTGGTTGGTTACGTGCTTCGCACCGTGACGATAGTTCTATTCATGATTCAAATCCTGTGGTGAGAGAAATTCAGCCACAGACTGATTAATTTTCCCACCACACCTAACTTTGCTACGTGAATGGGATCCGAATGGAACGATGAATTCATATTAAATGGAAGTGTTGGGAAGATTGAAAGTCCATATCTTGAACCTTTTGAACCTATCAAATTAAACTGTCATCAGTTTACAGTCTGTGTTCACCACTAGGAAATGCCACCCTTTCGTTTAGGTGACTACCCACTACAATACACCTATTTCAACGAGCGTTTACATTGTAATTAGCTGTGTATTTGATATCTGAACGAGAGGGTGCGTGATAGATGGCGTCTACTACTTTAATGAATATATATTTTCTGAACGAATCACTATGCAGCAATATGCTCTTTCTTAACAAATACCTTAATAAAAGAAAATTAAACTGAGTAATCATACCTTAAACATTCCTTCATGAATATTGGCTACTCTACCTCTCATCCTTTCTTTTACTTGCCCCCTCTTTCAGCCCCCTTGTGTTATGGTACAAAAGATTTCATCCTGCACCATCCTCAAAGCCTCAGACATTCCAAATGGACATAAGGTAGTGACATTTAGAAGCTCCCACCTTCAATGGACCTATCCTTGACCATCAGTTGCACATTTGCAACGCGACTTTCATGAAGCGCGCCAACTGTGGTACTGAATAAAACAGTTACATTCTTATCTTATAAATTATCGACCCAGCTATGTAATTTACTGCAGTGGATATTGTATCATTTGTATCAATTTGATCTTGCCTGTAAACTGGCATGCCTCATGTAACAGACTGTTATTTGAGAATAAATTATTAATAATATTATTAATCGCTAATTGCTTTTATTTCGGAAATGGTGTTAGAAGATATATTCATAAATCCGACCGGCTTCGTACTTCCCTCACTGACACCTATCATGAACACATCAATAATCCTAGGGACAATGACGCACCCTAGTACAGGCCATAACTGCTGAAAGTCCGTCTACAATAATGTTTACCTGCGGGGTTGTTACAGGAATATATTAGTTTAATTAAGTACAAGGGAAAGTGTGACCACCACCACATGGGTAAGCCCATGGCATAAGATTAATTGATGCTCGTAGGTTTTCCTTGACCTTGAAGGGGATCGATGAACTGTTCGATATTCAGTCACCCAACTGCAGGGTGGTTGACCTAGGGCTCAATGACATTTTGATCACCCTACATGATCAGTTCTTCGTCACTGATGTGACTGTGACATGTTCGAGTAAGGCGTTCCTTTCACAGACCACTTGATGAAAGAAAGGGAATCCCACTCTTAGTTTACTATTTGGATGTTTTTTAATTTACTTACCATGTCCTCTGAGATGATTAGTTCTCGAGAGAGCGGAAGGATAGGACATATTAACACCTATGTAGTTATTAGACAAACCGAATGTCAGAATAAGGTCACCTCGCATTTTAAGCTAAGAGAAAAAGGTTCATACGTTTCAAGTGCTCATCATAAAGAAGTTTGGAAAGACCCTTCACTAATCTTGCTAAAGCAAATGCTATTTAAAAACATAACAACAGGTCAATAATATATGTGATGAGTACATGTGCTATTAAAAAGTTTCTTGCGAGTTATCAAAAGTTGCTTGTCATACAGTCAAAAAAACTAGACAATTATGACGTTTTAAGTGCTCATCGTAAGGGAGTTTGGAAAGACCCTTCGCCGAACTTACTGCCATACAGTTAAGACGCTCGACTGTCTGCATACCTGGACTGAGTGCTTTCATACAGTACTATGGTTGTAGCATTACGTAGGTGAAGTATAAAGTACGAAACGTCGCCTCGTCAAGGCATTTTAATGCCCGTCGAAGTGATCACAGCTCTCGCGAACATTCAGCGGCTGTTGAGTTGAAGTGTACAGTTGTTTTAAAGTCATGACATACCGTTGCCTCAAAGTCTTTGCGTTCCTGCAAGCGTGGAAGTGATGAACCGTTGATAGTACACTGGTATATGATGCCGTATTTTATGTGCATGAGCAAAATCTTTCTAGAACTCGTTCACTGGTCCAAACTTCGAGACCATCCAACTAATTCATCTAAGCTTTGAAATCAAGATGATCAGTTTCATGGCATGACGGTAATTTATGGATGAATCATTTACATTGAAGATAGCAGATCTCGGATTTTGGCGCGACATTCACTCATTCATCTGTCTAAATACCATTTTGGCACTACAAATGATGTCATTTCCTGATGAAAATATATAATTTAACTAATAACCGCGAAGTTCAACTGTAAATCCTAAGCGTAATTCCTCACACTTATATTTAACCTTAATTTAACCCTGTTAAGTCGACGGACATCGCAAGGTCATTATTGCGTTGCTCGAGGGTCATATATAAACCATATTCTTATTTCAATTTCTCATTTATTGATGAATCTTTTTTTACTTTAGTAAGTGGTTTAATTTCAAGTGTTTCGACAGTTACCACACACCCACTAACTGAATCTAACGTCCCAAATTTTTAAAGATGAAGGTCTCAAAAAATCTTTAAGCCTCGACTACATGGTTCCAATATTGTTTATGTGTACTTCGGCTATCGAGTACACAAAATGCTAATTCTCGATAACGACAACATGCACATAACCAAGCTTATGTAAGAGTCCGTACGCTCTCCAACCCAAGTTCCCAATTTGGGGTAAATTTTGGGGTTATTGTGCCATTTCCCCGAAGTTTACTATGCCGGCTTCCCCAAAATTCCCCCAAAACGGGTCAAATTTTCCCTGAAATTGGGAGCTCGGGCTTAACCAAATGGATAAAAGGTGTATACAGATCCTCCATACAGACACGGGATAGCGTGACCATTAAAGAACTCGATGTCTTTGGTCTGCAAAATAAGCTTGACATCGGTAAATCCATGGGGCCCGATGAATTACATCCTAGGCTACTGAAGGAATGATCTAACTTCGTTGCAAGCCCTTTAAGTACATGCTTTAACCTATCCGTTACGCAGGGTCGTTTACCGAAGGACTGGAAAAACGCCATAGTAAGTCCTGTCTTCAAAACGGGTACGAAACACAAACCTGAGAACTACCGCCCCGTTAGCCTAACTAGTGTGGTTGTTAAAATATTAGAAAAGATTATTAGGGAGGAGTTGTTTAAGTATCTCGATAAAAACCAGATCCTCTCGGAGAAGCAGCACGGCTTCAGAATAGGTTATTCTTGTCTCACTAACTTATTAGTGACTCGTGAAAGCTGGTGCGCTCTTAAGGACCAAAAGCCACCTGTAGACGTCGCCTTCATTGATTTCAGTAAAGCTTTTGATAAAGTTCCGCACAACCGGCTGTTATTTAAGTTAAGAAAAGTCGGGATTGGAGGCAATTTATTGATGTGGATAAAAGACTTCTTAGTTGGGCGTCAACAAAGAGTTCGGGTAAACTCAAGGTTATCTAGCTGGGAAACTGTGCTTAGTGCATTGCCCCAGGGTACAGTTTTGGGGCCAGTGCTATTCCTCTTGTATGTAAATGACATTCCTTGTCTCCTATCATCACCGGTCTTGCTATATGCTGACGATGTCAAGATATGGAAAACAATACGATGTAAGAGTGATAGCTTAGAACTTCAAAATGACCTGAAGAAGTTATCTGAATGGCCTCAAACATGGCAGTTGGCGATAAATACTTCCAAGTGTGTTGTGATGCATATCGGTCATGAAGGTACAGATAACTACACGATGAATAACACTGAGCTACCTGTCGTTCAGACATATAATGACTTAGGAGTTATCGTTAGTCAAGACTTAAAGACTACTGCACACTGCCGTGCAATAGCCGACAAAAGTTTTATAACCTTATGGTCAATACGTCAAGCTTTTAGTCATGTCGACGCTAAGACGCTTTTGACTTTGTATACAGTGTTCGTTCGTCCTAAACTTGAGTACTGCATACAAGCGGCTAGCCTCTGCTTAAAAAAGACAGTGAGCTTCCGGAAAAAGTTCAGAGAACGGTGACTAAGCTGGTTCCCGGAATAGTGAAGCTTCCGTACAAATCTCGACTGACCAAGCTGAACCTTTCCCCGTTGTAATATCGCAGAACTAGAGGCGACTTGATTACAGTCCACAAATTGCTTAGTGACAAATTTGCACCTAACATGCCTTCATTTTTCCTGTCTTCTAAAGCAGAGAATTTACGGGGACGCTCTAAAAAAGTTCATAAGCCGAGAACAAATTACTTGTCAGCTGACTATCGACTCTTTCATCGAATCATCAACAAGTGGAATTCCCTACCTCAGCACGTAGTTGAGGCTCCATCCGTCGACTCTTTTAAAAGAAAGTTGGATCAACTGAGAGACCACCTTTGCCAGGACTAACATAGGCCATCGAGCCTCTTGTCCTTCCCAAACTGAAACTGATACTGAAATTGTGAGCTCGAGCCTTTCACGTTAAAATCCGAGATCTATTATCTTATACCTGATTGATTCACTCATAAATTATAGTTTCGCCGTTTTGTTTGTTATGGCTGCTCAATTATCACGTTTTGTACAAATCTTTTGTGAACCCATGAAGCATTGAAGTTGGCGCCGTAACCTTGAAATCTCTAAGGCGCTTCTGATTGGCTAGTCCATAAATCAGTCTTGCCGAGATAATTGCTACTGCATGCTTCTCTTAATATCACACTTAAAGGTAGTTTGTTGATGATAGCATGAGTGTACGGTGATAATTTAGAGTGATTTTGTCTATATATAAGCATAATTTCCTACAGTATTAAACATTCACTTTTCTGCTGTTTGTTACAGATTAGTAATGTTCAAGAAAAATAAAATTAGTAAAACTCAAATTAATAAATCAGTAAACTTACCCATATCAAATATACCAGTTTGTAGTAATGAATCGAAAATAATCAATCATAGGAAGTGTGCACCTGATGGAACTTTTCTGTCTGTTGCATCATTTCAACCAAATGGAAAGCCATTTATAACCAGTTCATCATTTATTCCTACTAGTTCCACATTGTCCTCTTCATTGTATATGGAAAACTTGTCAGTAAGAATTTGGGAATTTTATAGTAGCACAAGACAAAGTCCTTTAAAATATGAAAAGAAAGTTCGTCTACTTAATGCTTTACATATGGTTGTATCAGGAGTGTTCGAAAGTAAGTAAAACCATTTTAAAAGAGTACCTTTCTTATCTATAATTATTATATGTAACCTAATTCACAAGAACTTAGGCTTAATTTAAATTAATGTATTCACCGGATGCTTGAGTATAAGCCACGCTATAATTGAAATAGCTAACAATAATATTGAAGTATACAAGGTGGGGTTAAAACAGAGACTTAATGGTTGAACTTCGAAAAGCTAGTTTCTTTACAGCTCTTTTTATATACAACGAGGCACCGGTTCCGTAATTGATTCACTTGACTTTTAACCATTAGTCTAATGATTTCAACTCCATTCCATCATGTTCCGTACGGGGAGGCTGTCAGTGTCGCTAACCTCTTCACCGATTGCACATACATGTGCTTGATAAATAACTGACATAAGCTGGAAATTTTTATATTATCACTGTTAGAGATATCTTTAAGCTGGACTCTGGAATAAAAAGTTATCAGTTACTGACGAAATTAGTGCTTTAATTGTTAAATGTATTTAAAATGTACCTAATTCACGGTTCGGAATCCCAAGAGGAACATCGGCTGAGGATTCTCTTTACTAGTGTGAAGATCAGTTGTTCAGAGACTAAAGAATCAAAATTTTGGTCACTAATTCATAGGCTGAAGCCACGCAATCTCTGGTTTGGAAAACGGTACTATTATTAGCCTGTATATATAGAATATAACTCCAACTAAACGAATCTGTACCTAGTAAATAAGCCATATGTATTTCTTCGATGCAATGAAATGTTGACCCACAGCTTTCTGCCGACTACCTCCAACGAAATGTTCATTTACCAGTAAAGTTAATCCATAGAAATCGTTTTAGTATTTTTTGTTTTAAGCCCTGACCTTTGTAGGGGACTTTTGTATTGATGTCTAGAATTTTAAGTTTTTATTACCTCACGTTTTTAAGAGAGTATTCGAAACATTTTTACATTATACAAAAATGTCTAACTGCACTGATAGGTAATCCAAAAATTTAAATGTTGATTTAATTCCAGTCTTTCATATATCTTTTTTATATTATCATTAATGGTAACTGGATTTAGAAAAATACTTGAAGATAGTAATAATAGCACTAGTCAGCTGTTAGGGGAGTGAAGTAGTCGAACGAGTTGACAACCCCACTTATCTTGGAAGTCTGATCAGCCCTAATGGGTTGGTGTCTGACGAAATCTCTACGCGGATTCGAAAAGCTCGTTTGGCTTCTGCCAACTTACGTCACCTATGGCGAAGGCAGGATATCCGTCTATCAATAAAAGGACGAGTATACTTCGTGGCGGTTCGTTCTGTTTTACTTTACGGCAGCGAAACATGGTTTTTAAGAGTAGAAGACACTCGTAAGCTACTAGTATTTGACCACGGATGCTTCAGAAATATTGCTGGCGTCTGCTGGGATCATAGGGTAAATAATAGTGAGGTTCGACGCAGGGTATTAGGGAATGATGGTAAATCAGTTGATGAGGTTGTGAATCTTCGTCCACTGCGATGGTTGGGCCACGTGTTACGTGTGCTTGAACACCGATTACCACGACACGCATTGCTAACCGGTGTTGGGGATGGTTGGAAGAAAGTTAGGAGTGGCCAAACCAATACATGGCATCAGTGCTTGAAGTCACTAACTTCTAGTCTGAGCCATGTTGTTGGTAGATGTAGACTACTTAGTTGGGATCCATATGACTATCATAAGTAATGGTTGGAGATTCTGGGTGACATACCTCAGAATCGATCACAGTGGTGTACGTGTATACACTAATTGTCTTCCCTTAAACTGTGAGATTAAAATCTCTCATATCTTTCTTTCTTCCTGTACTATATCCTTATACACAATCTTTTTTTATACATTACCACCACTGAATTAACTACTATAAATCCGGTTTTCATCTTGTGCTAATGCGGTATGGTAACGTGGACCGATGCACATAGTCCTGGAGTTATCGACTTTGACTGGTAATTTTCTAAGAACGAGAAAAATTATTTAATATTAATTCAGTACACTTTCTTCCTCCTCTGTGTATGTTTTTAAAAAAAATATAGATGCTGGCCTGTATATTGTTGGCTCTTCAATAAATGGTTTCGGTTCAAATCAAAGTGATATGGATATGTGTTTACTTGTAACATCGCGCGATTTACATCAGAAAAGTGAAGCAACGTTTATATTAAGTCGACTTTTACAATCATTAAAAAAATGTCGTAAGTTTTAATTATATTGCCTTTACTATTACTACTACTATTACTAAAAGCCACTACAACACAGTGTAAAAGATATTGCTCGCATCATCTGGGATCACCGGGTAAGTAATGGTGAGATCAGACGGAGACTATTAAGGAATGATGGTAAATCAGTTGATGAGGTTGTGAATCTTCATCGACTGAGATGGTTGGGCCACATGCTACGTATGCCTGAACACCGATTACCACGATGCGCAATGTTGACTAGTGTTGGGAATGGTTGGAAGAAAGCTAGGTGTCCAACCATAATGTTGCATCAGTGCTTGAAGTCACTAACTTCTGGTTTGAGCCATGTTGGTAGATGCAGACTACTTGGTTGGTGTCCGCGTGACTATTGTAACCAATGGTTGGATACCCTTGATGACGTGGCTCAGAATCGATCACAATGGCGTAAGTGTATACACACTTTTTCTTCCCTTGAACCGTAAGATTAAAGTTGCTTTATACCATCATTTCTACGAAATAATTATTTCTTCCTGTATTATATCTTTAGACACAACCTTTGGTTTGTATATTACTACCAATGAAGTAACTACTTCTATGAATTTGTTGCTCATCTCGTTGTACTAATGCGGTATGGCAACTTGGACCGATGAATATATGTGCCTGTTCCTACGTTGTATCTGACTGACTGAGATAGTTTTGAATTTGTTGAAAGAATTAAAATTTTGAAGGTGAACACAAAATTCATGATAATACTTGACATATCTTTATTTAAAACGTACCTTTCATAGAAATGGTTGATTTCATATATGGTTAGTTACAAAATCGAGAAATGGGGATTGACATTCCAGTTTCTTGTTTAAGGTAATTAATACTCAGATATACTATGAATATGTATTTATTGTTTAATAAAGAACTCTACAGACAATGCAACGGTATCACTATGGGATCACCATTAATTCCAGTCGTAGCTGGTTTCTTTCTGACAAAATTAGCAAACGGTCTTCTAAAAAGCGTGATAGGCAAACTAGAATTTTATTTTGATTACATGAATGATGGATTTATAGTCACAAAAAACGAAAGTGAAGCTCCGAGTTTACCAAAATCATTTAATAGAGTCCACTAGGCAATCACTTTCACAATGGAAGAAGAAAAGTACAACACCATCTTCTGCATCAGATAAGTAGGTTAACCATAACAAACCATTTAAAAAATAATCCCACCTAAATTAAACACTTTCTAACTAACTACATTCAGAATTCACTTGGTATTGTTTGGCTTGTATCTTCCCATTGAGGTTTAAGACTGCAATTGATCAGTCTGTTATTGGCATATGTGCATACTGTGCGTATGCCTCGATATTACCTTAATTCACAAGCTATTTGTAAGCTCAGTAGCTGAGTGGATAACGCGATAGCGTTTGAAGCGAATGGTACTGGGTTTGAGTCCCAGAGTGAACATCAACTCTCTGAGATGCAGGTACATCCAGCTGACGAGTCCTAAATAGGACAAAACGCGCGTTCTGGATTCCACTGCTAGCCACTATCCATCATTGCTTACAAATAACTACATTCTGATTAATCGATTCCATTATTATTTCTTTTTGTAGAGGTATATATAATTGAAAATTGACTTTCTGATAACTGAAACAGGGTAATGTTTCTAATGCTGCCCCCCCCATGTACGTTTGATTTCTTGTCGAATTTTTTTCTTTTTTATCATCATTCTCCATTTCTGTAGGTTTCCTTTATCATTTCACCCTAATTCGTGCTAAAGTTCCAATTATCAAATTTCGTGATAGATATACCGGTATTGATTGTGATTTAAATGTAAATAATGTAAATGGATTATATAATACATATTTATTAGCTATGTATGCAAAAAGTAAGTAAAATTTCAATGTTGATATTTCTACTTTTTTGTTTTGTTTTGTTAAACACATAAACATTGGTGTAACAAGTTTTTACTTACTTACTTGGGCCTGTTACTCCCAACGGAGCATAGGCTGCCGACTAGCATTCTCCAACCCACTCTAGCTTGGGCCTTCTTTTCTAGTTCTATCCAATTCTTGTTCATTCTTCTCATGTTTGTCTTCATTTCTCGGCATCATGTGTTTTTTGATTTTCCTATTCTCCTTTTTTCTTGAGGATTCCAAGTAAGGGCTTGCCTTGTAATGCGATCAGATGCTTTCCTCCATGTGTGTTCTATCCACTTCCAGAACTTCTTCATGATTTCTTCTTCCGCTGGAATCTGGTTTGTTCTCTTTCCCATAGTAGGTTGCCTCTGATCCCGTAGAAAACTATTTCGCTAAAAAAGACGCTAATCAAAAAAATAATTTCAAACTATTGGTACGACGAGGCACTAAAAATATACATACACCACACAAATCACTGAATTTACATTTGAGTGGGGTATACTACCCGGGTAACCAAACCGAAGCAGGTGGTTTTCTTAGAGAGCACCACTCTCTGAGTCTTTGAACCAGAGGTCTAGTTCACTAAACAGTGGATCAACATTAAGGAATATGATCTCGTGGCAGCTAGTGACCATGAATGGGTTCATAAACCATTTTTTTCCTTTTAAAATATTGGAGCCTATGATCACTATTTGTTTGTAATCAGGGTTCTCTAAGTAGATGCTCTATACCCTGCAATCCGGTTTAAGTTCCAACCGGACATTCTCTTTTCGTCTTCTCGAATTCGTAAGCAATACCTGCATCACGAGAAGTCAGTGAGGCTATATACTCGTGGCCACATAAGAGCATTTGGAGAGGAAGGGCTAACTCTGCATACCGGCCATACCAGGGCATCGAGAGGATGTTTATTAGCTATATATGCAAAATATAAGAGGAATTCAATACAGAGATTATTTGGAATTGATTTTTTCGCTATTAAATTTTACTAATGAACAAACTGAAATTTTCATGGTGCACATCTGTTTTCATGTTATTTATTTTTGTTGTTGTGAATAGCCCTTCTGACAATCACCTTGATTCATTTCAATATCACTAGGACGTATTGAAAAAATGTCCATATTTAATGAAAATTGAGTTGTGAAAATCCGTGACCACTACAGTTCAACACTGCTGGGTATGAGACAGTAGATACCATAGTCAATGGATGATGGTTACACAATAGTTTGATTAAACTTGAACATATACATCGTTAGATGCTGGCCCAGTGGTCTAATGATTAAGCATTCGCACACGAGACCGAATGTTCTGGTTTAGAATCGTGAATATTAAGTTGTGGATGCACACTGCTGAGTTCCCTACTTGAACGAAACAGCTGTTCAATGCTTCTTGGACTTTAGTAGTTGTCTAACTGAGGTCGGTTCGTGATTAAAACTTTGAGGATACAATAATATCTTGCATTTTCCGGCTTGTTTGGGTTACTTGATGATCGAGTCAGCTAGTGACTAGAGATTGATATCTGCTTTGCTGACCTCGTTTTCTGGTTGGACAGTAGGTTGTAATAGGCTCGAGGGCAAATAGGCTTGCAGGTCTCTATCTCTGTATATTAGTGATTACAATACCAGGTCATATAGTGTAAATGATTACAATGAAAGTTTGTATAACTACTGCAAAATGTGTAATCCATTGGTAATTGAATAGTTTTATTTGTACATATTCTTTATTAGTGGCACAACTTTCTTTGGTGTTATTTACTTTAAGTTATCTAGTATTACAACAGTCTCCTAATCAGTAACTTATGGATTGCGAAATTTTGATGCTTATCGATTCAACAAACTCTTTCTAACCGCAGTAGTTATTCAGAGGAATAGCATAGGAAGTGGATAAACTTTTTTATTATCGTATTCACCCTTCTTTTCCCCATAACTCAAAGGTCTATATACATGAATGATATGACCACAACGCATCATAAATACGAGATCATGTGTGCATAACTATACGACAAGCGGTATAAAGCTGATTATTGAATTCACAACAATTATTGGGTCAATTGGATTCTTACAATTAGGGTTATTACATTATAAAGGTATAATCATTCTATGTTGAATAGCTCTAAAATTCTCATCTCTCCCAATTATTTATCCCAATCTAATAGCTTATAGGCCTGCAACGATCGAAACAATTTAGATATGCCAAGTTCGCCAACTCCATCGCCCACAAAACATTGTAGTGGCTGATTCTATGTCAAGTCCACATAAGCTATTCTAGCTTTTTAATACACCAACTTATGCATTCGTTTCAAGCCACATTTTGACCTCATCAATTATTCACTTATCAATCCTGACTGTTTTTATCGTGTTTTAATTGCTTATCCTATTCATTACGTGTCTGTAACCTCTTATTTTCTGAATATAAATATTGAATGACGCTTAATTAAATTGGGTTAGCTCATTCGCCTTCTCTACTGAGCGTCATTTCGTCTCATTTTGCTTCGCTCTCTTCTCATTGCTTCCTTCACTTCGTCTCTTTATTCATCTGTCTGGATCAACGAGTGTACGAAATATGCGTACTCAAATATCATTCTCGTATTTGACTTATTTCTATTCCTTTATTCTCTAACGCGATTTAAGTCGATGATTATATACGAGGGTTCGTGGCATGTATATTTCGATAACAATCAACAAACTATTTAATTGGAGTCAGATATAGGAGTCGCCCGTCGATGCTATCATTGTTCGATGTAATTGACTTCAAAATGAAAGGCCATACTAAAGCATAATTGGTAATGGTGACTGCTTCGTGTTGTGACTTTACTGTGAATCATTGAATTTCCTTTTTCACCTCTGTTAAAATATGCGACAATATTAATATTTATAATCATTAATCGGCTAATCTATTTTCTTTGTTTCTGTTATCTTTAAAAAAATTTAGTTGATTGGCGCGTTAGACCATTGGGAATTTTCATTAAACATTGGGCTCAATGTTTGGATATTCATGATGCTCAACGTGGTCGTCTATCCACCTATTGTTTACTTCTAATGCTTATTCATTATCTTCAAACCGCTTGCATTCCACCAATTCTACCTAATTTGCAAGAAAAATTTCCAGTATGTGTGTGTATGTATGTTTTCGATCTTGTGTCATCGGACTAAAAAAACATACTTCTAGTGGTTTTATTACTGTAGACATCAGTTTTAGCGTTTTTAGCGTCGGCGGCCTATGCTCCATTGGGAGTAACAGGCGTAAGTAATTAAGTAAGTAAGACGTCAGTTAGAAAAAAGCTAGGGGGCAACCATACCGAAATAGGGTTTTGATCTATGATTTTATTGACTGTTTTAACTCAAACCTTAATAGTTCCAAACTACATAGTTGTGGGGACCATATGATAATTACTATTAGTGATTAAAGAGAAATTGTCAGATATCCATCAAAATCGGTCACAATATGACGTAAATCCATTTATCCATTGTACTATCTTTGACTCTGGGTTTCAATATTCTTTTTATTCTGTTTTTTTTCGAACCATCTTTTCAGTATTCGGTCTTTTCCATCATCATTACAACTGCAATAATTTTCATCTCAACTTCTTTATTATTTGTCTTGTTAATTTTATTTCGTCTTACTGATGTGACATGGTAGTATGACAAGGTGAAATGACGTTGAGATGGTGGAGAAGATTTGTAGCTCTAGTGGATGATTTTGATGCAGTTTTGTTCTCTGAGCTGGCTGGTTTGGTCGTGAAGCTTTCATTGTGTTTCTGTACGACATCATCAGCACAAACGTTAGGTAGAAGTGAAGTGTTCGAATTTCTCCACATGTGGTTCAACATCGAGGTCTACAGGAAAAAAACTGAATCATATTTGGGGAAATTCGAATACTTCACTTCTACCTGAAGTTTGTGCTGATGATGTCGTTCAGGAGAACGATGAAAGCTCCATGACCAAACCATTCAACTCAGATAACAAAACTTCATTGAAATGACGTTATTTAGGCCAATATTTTCTCGTATCAATTCAGTATAAACTTTGTTCTATATGAATTCTCGTTCAATGTGATAATTTCATTCACTGCATTAATTCAGGTGAACTATATTTCATGTGTGTTTTTATAGTAACTATATGTATTCACCTGTATGTGATACTATTAATTGTGTGAAATTAGTTATATGAACGATCATGTTTTAGTCTAAAGAGGATGTGATTTTGGGACTTGTCTAAAGAAAAATATTTTTGGATGGTGAATTGCGTCGTAGGAACTGCAGAAATTCCCGATTGTCAAGTAAAAGCAGTAAGACTGTGGGGTGGTCACAGTCGATGAGTGTATAACAGCGACAACTTCTCAGACAGAGTAGTTGGCTACCCAGTTACAACAGTATCGCCGGAGCTAGTTTTCTAGTTATAACAGTGGAAACAGGAATGAGAATATGATTACGTCGGAAAATTTCTGGACTGTCTCTTCTTTGTACTTTCATTACTGCTATATTATTAATTTGAACATTAAATTGAATACCATCACCAGTAAAGCTTTAAAACATCTTCTTATGACTTTAAACTTGGGTCGATTTTTACCCTGTGCTAACTGTTGTGTCCTTGACTGAAAAACTAGAGAGCAGCGTATTTATCGATCGATTCAATGACACGTACGAACGTAATTGGCGACCTAGAGTTCCGATTGGTCCCGCTTCCCTGTCTATCCCAGCCAGTTGAGTCCAGAACACAAATCTCAGCCTCTGAGTTATGAATCGTTATATTTCAGACACACTCTGCTTATATATCAATCAAGCATACCACATCGTACCATGAAAATAGAAAACAACATTTTGTACCATATTCAACAAGTGAACAAATATCGACCAATAGGAAATGTCCATTTAAAGTCCAAGGACACCATTGGACTTAACATGATAATTATTGGTCTATTCCTCCGCATCCACAACACATTTGTTTAAACTATTCAACTTGCTCACGTGCAATCGATCATTAATTAGGCTATTCAAAATCCATATATTCATCATTAACCTGGGATATATACCCGATACATTTACGATTAACTAACACTTCTTTTTTCCCCAAATGTTTTGTTATTTCAGTTGCCCTGATCAACGATCAATGATTCTATCCTTTTATAAACAACTTGGATCGAATACCAGAAAAATCGATCGAAATTCAGTCAACAACTGGATAATTTAAACACTTACTACTAATAATAATGTAAATATTATATCCATTGAACATGTTAATGGCTATTTGAAGCCAATAACTCATTAGATAATAAGTTAGGTGTTTGATGGAAAAGATACACTGAATTTTAGTGCCGATGTGATCATCGACATTGGAATTCAGGTCTGTCTAACTGATGAGTCCTACTTAAGATGAAACTCATACTAGATTCTATAGCTAATCACAATTCATTTATTCTAAGTAGCTTGGTTCGAAGTAAATAAGACATGGTCACGTTAAATCGTATTATTTATTTGAACACATAGATGTTAGTACAAAGGGGCACCGAATACATATGCGCTATACAAGTCACTCGATTAGTGTGTGGGCTGTGATTCTACCCGTGTGCTCAGACCGAAGTAGGTGGTTTTCTTAGGGAACCACACTTAGAGCCTTTGACCTAATGGTCTAATCCACAAAGGCAGTGGAGCAACGTAAGGAAATGCAGTCTCACGGTAGTTGGTATCCAATAATTAGTTCGTACGCCATTTGTTCCTTGAGGATACTGAAGCCCATGTACATCACTGATTTGGAATCAGGGCTTATCAACTGGATCTTGCATATCCACCGACCCGGTTAAAGCACTGAACATTCGCTTTTCGTCCTCTCAATTTCTTAAACAACATCCATGGTTTGTGAAGGCAGGGAGTAGGAATTCCATGGCAGTGGATGTATATGCATAATCATATAAAAGCATTTGAAGAGGGAGAGTTGACTGTTTCTACCTTCAACCGTACCAGAGCATTTAAAAAGTTAAATTGTATTGATTCTGAATCATCTTAGTTGTTCTTATTTAGTCTTCCATAATCATTGACTTCTCTGTTTGTTTTATTTTCCTCATAGAATTTATTTAATTACACTATGCAATCATATGAATTAGATATGAATATTGAACTTCCATGGAATGAATTACAATCAAATAATTCTAATAGTTTAGCTGAATTATTTATTGGATTTATTTATTATTATACAAATCAATTTGATTTTAATAAATGGGCTATTTCAATTCGTCATAAAACACCATTCATGAAACATATAGCTATAAAACATTTACCATCCTATGAACAAGGTTATATCGTACGAAATTGTAAAATTTTCATTGAAGGTAAATGATTCTTTTATATGATCCATACTATGTGTATTATTCATTTTGATTGAATTTAATTCATTTCATGACTAAATAATAACAAAGGCATGTTGGGTAGATGTAGACTATTTGATTTGGGGTCTACGTGACTATTGTAACCAATGGTTGAAGACTCTGGATGATATGGCTTAGGATCGATCACAATGGCGTAAGTGTATACACACTTTTTCTTCCCTTGAACCGTAAGATTAAAGTTCCTTTATACCATTTCTACGAACTAATTCTTCCTCCCTGTACTATATCTTTATATGCAATTTTTCTTTTATATATTACCACCATTGAATTAACTACTTCTATGAATCCGGTGTTCATCTTCCTGTGCTAATGCGGTATGGCAACTTGAACCAATGCATATATGTGCCTGTTCCTACGTTGTATCTGACTGACTGAGATAGTTTTGAATTTGTTGAAAGAATTAAAATTTTGAAGGTGAACACAAAATTCATGATAATACTTGATATATCTTTATTTAAAACGTACCTTTCATAGAAATGGTTGATTTCATATATGGTTAGTTACAAAATCGAGAAATGGGGATTGACATTTCAGTTTCGTGTTTAAGGTAATTAATACTCAGATATACTATGAATATGTATTTATTGTTTAATAAAGAACTGTACAGACAATGTGACGGTATCGCTATGGGATCACCATTAAGTCCAGTCGTAGCTGGTTTCTTTCTGACAAAATTAGCAAACGGTCTTCTAAAAAGAGTGATAGGCAAACTAGAATTTTATTTTGATTACATGAATGATGGATTTATAGTCACAAAAAACGAAAGTGAAGCTCCGAGTTGACCAAAATAATTTAATAGAGTCCACTAGGCAATCACTTTCACAATGAAAGAAGAAAAGTACAACGTCATCTCCTTCCTAGATGCCCTATCGAAGAGAAGAGCTGATAGATTCATAAGAAGAAGTGTTTATCTTAACCCGTCTACACAAGGACAATGTACACACATTTGCTTTTATACATTACTACCATTGAAGTAACTATTTCGATGAATTTGGTATCCATCTCGTTGTACTAATGTGGTATGGCAACTTGGACCGATCTACATATGTGGCTGGTCCTACGTTGTAGCTGATCGACTGACTGAAACCCTATATGATTCCAAACAAATAGTGAACATGGCCTCCAGCATTTTAAAGGGAAAAATGGTTTATGAATTCACTCATGGTCACCGGCTACCACCAGACCACATTATCTAATGTTGATCCACTGTTTAGTGGGCTATACTTCCGGTTCAAAGACTCAGAGAGTGGTGCTCTCTAAGGAAACCATCTACTTCAGTTTGAGCAACCTGACAGTGTTCCAGCCCCTCACACAAATTGTTCAATGTGTGTGGCACATATGGATTTTAGGGCCTCCTTACGTATCAATGTTTATGTGTTTAAATAACTTAATTAATAGTAAGCTCGTAACAAGTAAGTTCTGTCATTCAATTTATAATAAAAATTTACACATTTCAAATTTAATCCATATTTGAAGGGATTTTTTTGTAGATATTATAGTAATTTTAATAGTTGAGATCATGAGTCAATTGAAGGTAGACCACCATAAAAAACCTGAAAACATTGGACGGTTTTCAAGAGGTAATTCCTATAGTTCTAGTGAGAAGCAGTGACCAATGGAGTTCAACCGGGTCTGTTGTGAGATAGTAATTCACTGAAGACAGTGGTGTATGTGTCGCTCAATCTTGTAGATTAGTTGAAGTTAGACATTAACACCGTTGGATGTCAACCGACTCAGTGGTCTAGAGGTTAAGCGTTCGCGTGCAAGACTGATAGGTGGTCCTGCGTTGGAATCTCGCTAGGTGGGATCATGGATACTCACTGCCACGGAGGAGTCTCACAGTAGAACGAAACGGCCATCCAAGTTTTCCATGATGATCTAGCTTCAATTGACTCATGATCTCAACTACCAAAATTAATTCATGTATTTTTTAGTAAGTAAATTTCTAGATTTTATTACTACCGTTTTTTTTACTTTCATCCATCCCTCCCCCCCCAAAAAAATAATCCTCAACGTAGAACCATTCTCTCAAACAAATGCTGCACGTTCAATACATTCTGATAATATTGTATCATATATTAAACAAGCATTTATTAAAACAAATGAAATTCTATCTAATCAATATCCTTTAGAATCAATTATGAATATAAGAAACAATTGATTTATATTGATTATTGTAATCAAGAAAAAAATATCGATTAAATAATCATAATAATAATATGTGAATATTTATACTCGATGGAGAATGTTGTTGGTTGGCGGTCTATACTCCTCCACGAGGGATAACCGTTGTATATATGTAAGTAAGTAAGTAAATATGTAATATGCTCACATTTCATTATATCTATAAACTGTCATTAGTTAGAAACTAATTCAATGATGATATTTGTATTCTTACAATCTTCTTATTTACTACTTTATACATTCCTACAATAAGAAATTTTGTTACATAACTATCTATTTTATTTTGTATAGATAAACGTTTCAATGTTCCTTTCTTAAAAAACAACAACAACAAAACAAGTTGAATAGTGTTAATGTAAAATAAACTCGTTGACTTCCTTCACCACCACCATCATCATCATCATATAGAGGATCTTTGTATTTTGTTTTTATATTTTTTTTTAGTTCATTGATAAAATTCATGTCAATGATTGTACATATTTATCCATCTATCTATCTATCTTTGTTCTATTCAACTTGATCATTGAACAAATAACTTGACTTGTTTGTTTTAATTGATTCATTTCCGTATTCTTTCTTTTTAAGGAGGGGGTGGTGGTGGTGGACAAATTCAAATTTCTAATAATAACAATAAATCATTTGTGATCTTTCTGAAGAAGATGATGATGATGTGAATTTAATATTGAGTCGTTTATCTGTCAAATGTGTTAGGTCACAAGTTCGAACCCCCCCACTTCAGCCTCAGTTAGTCAGCTAGAACGTAGGATCACCCACATATATGCATTGGTCCAAGTTGCCATACCGCATTAGCACAGGAAGATGAACACCGGATTCATAGAAGTGGTTAATTCGATGGTAATAACATATAAAAGGAAGATTGTGTATGAAGATAGAGTACTGGAGTAAAGAATTAGTACTTAGAAAGATATGAAGCGATTTTTATCTCTTAGTTTAAGGGAAGACAAAGAATGTATACACCTACGCAATTGTGATCGATTCTGAGTCATGTCACTCAGAGTCTCCAATCATTACTTATGATAGTCATATGGATCCCAACAAGATAATCTACATTTACCACCAACATGTCTCAGACCAGAAGTTAGTGACTTTACAGACTGATGCCACGTTTTGGCTTGGCCACTCCTAACTTTCTTCCAACCATCCCCAACACCGGTTAGCAATGCGCGTCGTGGTAATCGGTGTTCAGATACACGTAGCATGTGGCCGGACCATCTTAGTCGATTCACAACCTTATCAACTGATTCACTATCATTCCATAATACCCTGGTACGTCCGAGAGTGAGGACAGTCCGCTTTCCCTCTCGAAATGCTCTCACATGACCACGCGTATATAGCCTTATGGTAACAATAGTTTATCAGATAAACTGGTGTTAATTATGCTCTCACACGTCTACACGTATATAGCCTCTGCCAGGGAAGTCCTACTCACTGCCTTCTTGCACCACGGGTGTTGTTTACGAAAATGAGAGGACGAAAAGCGAATGTCCGGCTCTTTAACCGGATTCCAAACCAATGGTGTACATGGGCTCCAGTATCCTGCGTGAACAAATGGCGTATGAACCAATTTTCGGTCACCAGCTTCCATGGGACTGCATCTCCTTACGATGCACCACTGCCTTGTGGATCGGACTTTCAGGTCGAAGGCTCGGGAAGTGGCCCCCTAAGAAAATTACCTGCTTCGGTTTGGGCACCCGTGCAGTATCACAGCCCTCACACATACGGAATGAGATTTTTGTGGCGCATATGTGTTTGGTGTCTCCTTGTACTAATATTTATGTGTTAAAATAAATAAATAACCCTGCATCTACTTTGGTACAGATAGCTAGTGTAGCATTACACATAAATTGTATGACTTAAAACTGAATAATATAAATTCTTACTTGGTGAGTTGTTATTATCATTATATTTAATAAATATATAGTTTAGAAAGAAGCTAATTACAATCGAAAGTATAGCTCTTAGGTTTTTGCGCATAATTCAAAAAATTACATCAAATTAATAGTATAAATGATCTTTGTATAATGCTCACAACATTTGAAGTAATAATGAATATTTCCAGTTTATCATTATAGAATGAAATTGACAATGTTAATTGTATCACATATTCAATTTGTTCTATATGGATTATATTACAATAAACAAATTAACACTATGTGTAAATCTTAACTTTTAATCATGAAACAAACCTTATTCTTATTGGGTCACAATATTGTATAGATGAATAAATCAGATATATAATATCATCTCTTGAACTTTTACATGGAATTCACTTATTCATATATTTAAAAACCATTTTTGTATTATATCTAATATTACGTTGTGGTTCGCTACCTAATGCTCTGGTACGGCCGAGAGTGAGAAAAGTCAGCTGTCCCTCTCGAAATGCTCTCATATGGTCACGCATATATAGCCACGGTCAGAGAAGTCCTACTCCCTGCCTTCTCGAACCACGTGTGTTGTTTACGAAATTGAGAGGACGAAAAGCGAATGTCCAGTGCTTTAACCGGGTTGGTGGATATGCAAGATCCAGTTGATAAGCCCTGATTCCAAATCAATGGTGTACATGGGCTCCAGTATCCTCAAGGAACAAATGGCGTACGAACCAATTATTGGATACCAACTACCATGAGACTGCATTTCCTTACGTTGCTCCACTGTATTTGTGGATTAGACCATTAGGTCAAAGGCTCTAAGTGTGGCTCCCTAAGAAAACCATCGGCATCGGTTAGGGCACTCGAACAGTATTCCAGCCTGCTCACATACCTCTTTGATGCCTCCTTGTACCAATGTTTATGTGTTTAAATAAATAGATAAATAACGTTATGGTTCTAAGCAAAAGAATAGTATCGGCGGTGAAGGGACTCTTAAAAATCTATCTGGTTTACAGAAGACTGTTTATTTATGTCTATGTCAGAAGAATTTATATATCACATTGTATTTTCGATGAATAGGCAACATAACCTGTGTGAAATCTGTTTACACTTTGTATTGTTAATATAATCTATTACATAAACTATTCCATTTAAAAAAATGTTGTTTTCTAATTAATTAATAACTGATTGAAAATTGATGGTGTTTGTTTTAAGCTCATCCTTATTATGGTAAACTTTAGAGGGTGATTGTTATGTTTCATTACATCAAAATCATGATGGATACGAATGAATAAGAGTAGAATACTAGATTCAGAATTTCTTTCAATATCGTTTATAAAGCATATTATTTTAATGGGGGGGGGATTCCTTAAAAGATGATGCCCGAGATATTTGTACTACAAGGTATCACTGTTCAATATCTCTGTTACACTATTACATGTTTATTATGATTCAACAAGACTAATACTCGTAACTTTCTGTTTAGTGAAGTACTTTGATGGGTTTTTTTCTAAAAGAAAATTACTCGTATATCCTGGGACCATCGAGTAAGTAACGCAGTTGTTAGGAAACCGGTACTAGGTCAGTTTGGCAAATCAATTGATGAAGTAATGGAACTTCATCAGTTGAGATGGCTGGGACACGTGTTATGTATGCCCAACCACCGACTGCCTCGACGTGCGATGCTCAATGATATAGGTTGGAAGAAAGCTAGGGGAGGCCAGATCAAAACATGGCACAAGTCCATGAAGTCACTGACAAATGAACTGAGTCATGTTAGTAGGTGTAGACTACCTGGTTGGGGACCGCGAGATGATAACAACCGATGGTTAGAGACCCTGAATGACATGGCTTAAAATCGTTTGCAATGGTGCAGGTGCATCCATTCTTTGTGTTCTCGCTAATTCTAATCTCCTGAACCCTCCTTGTTTATTTTTTCCTTTCCACATTTATTTCACTGGATCATACTCCTTGAATAACATCTTCAAACCCTAATCATCCCGACTACTGCTTATACTGTTACCACCTCTACCACTACGGGATTTGAATCGATAACTGCATGTCTATGCTAATGTTGTGTGGCAACTCGAACTGATGTACGTACGTACGTACGAAGTTGTACGTTGTTACTGACTTTTTTAAACAAATTAGAGGCTGCAGTATGGGGATATTTATGTGATATTTTAGATCTATAAGTAATAAATCGGTAGATATACAGTAGATGTTTGTCAAATTTAAGTGTACAAACTGTCTTATTTTATGAAATTCATCAAAGGATGGATTTTTTTACTCATAAATTGTCTTCCCTAATGCTTAAATCGCGCGCTTACCACTGAATCAATAACTGTACGATATTTTGAATAGTTATTACTCAAGAATGTGGGGTATTCTATGTAATATTCATTTATTTTATATATATAATCATCGGTTAACAATAGTTACAGTAAACTTTGTTCTTTCTTGTTTCTTTTCAATGACTTTTTCCATAGGTACTGAGTGAGGGGATTAGTACAAGTTTGGTTGAGTTTGTTAAGTTTAGCTAGTAATGATAAATTAAAACGATAATTTACTTGAGGGGATTATATAGAATTGATTGTTTAAATAATAGCTGATTAGTGTCAACTTTTAGAAAATAGTGAATACCAAGATATAATAGAAATCTAATGGAATAATCTCCTATTCAAATTAATGAGATTCAGACAATTTTGTGTTAATGACATTGATGCGAGTAAAGTCAAGTGAAAATCTCACTACTTCAACATACTGAGAGTAGGTACTTATTACATAATCAATTCGCAGTATTAAGAATATAAGAATACTGCTAATAACTTCCTTCATCATTTAAAACTGTTGAAAGGATTATTCACTTGGTGTTGCTTTACTTATATCTTCCCATTGCTATTTTGGACTGCAATTGATCAGTCTTTTGTTGGTATATATGCACCTGAGATGCAGGTACATCCAGCTGACGAGTCTCGAATAGGACGAAACACGCGTTCTGGATTCCACTGCTATCCACTATCCATCTTTACTTGTTAAAATGAATGTTGTGTGAAACAATATTTCCTAGAAAGATATCAAACTAACTTATACAATAAGTAAGCAATAATTCTAGAACTTTTGTTCTATCATCTTGTACACCATAGAGACTAAACGTTTAAAACAAGATCATTAAGAGAGAATGAAAATTTTTTCAATGTTCTAATTCAAGACATCAGCATTCATATTCACTTAATGTCTATTTACTGATACTCAATTTGTATGATGTTTTTATTCTTCTAATTACAAGCTTTATGTCTTATCAGAACAAAGATTTAGGGAACGGTAACTTTCAGAACTACGTTATGAATTATTATTGTTACGTATATTTTTATTGTAACTAGATTCCACTTATCATAAGCTTTCGGTTAACCGTTATTTTGTTGCCAGTCTATAATTTACAGTTTCTCCTATTCACAACCATTTTTGGCTTGTTCTTGTATAATTGTTATTTTCTATTTTATGGTGTAATTCGGTCGGTTATGTCTCTATACAAACTACGTCTGTTTGAAATAAAATATGGTATAGGCTGGCAGGGCAAAGAGAGATGTTAAAGAATTGTGGACCAATAGGAACCTAGGTGACAACTTAAAGTTAATAGTGTTGGTCAGATATGTAATTGGTCGACTGACTCATAGTCACTCAGTCATAGAGTAAATAATTGATGCTAAATAGACCAAATTGGAGTCGTGATTCGGATTAGTTAC